TCTCTCTCCCCCTGTAAGTCACTGGTCATACAAAAAAGATGATTTATCCTTGGTGTCTGCTACGTTTATACATACATACAGAGGTATACATTTTTTTAGCCTAGGAATATACGTCATAAGAAACATGCAAAACACATAATTTTAAAATCTTATTGAAAGACATGACAAAAGACTTTAAAAAAATCCATAAAACAAAACATAGCATTCCTGGACAGGAGAAGATGATGCTGTAAAGATGTCAATTCTCCAATTAATTCATTATATCCAAATTAAATCCCAAAGTGTTTTATCTTCCAGAACTTGACTGAATGACTCTAACATTCATCTAATCAAAAGATGATGATTTTTTAAAATATCTTCTCATCAGATTTATAATTCTGAATAAGTGGTTATCTCTGGGGAATGGCACTGGGGTGTGTGAGTGAATGGTCAGAGACTTTTCCTTGAATTACTTTTTAATTGCTTTTGTAATTTATAAAAACTAGTTATAAAGTTTGTTTTTAGTATGCATGTTATATATCAGTAAAAATTTAAATAAAAGCACACGAAAGTACATGTAAAAGAATAAAAGTGCAAAAAGGTCAAAACAACTTTTAGAAATAAAAGAATACAGGGAAGCTTGTTGTATAAGATATTAAACTTTATTATAAGGCTACAATAAATTAAAAAGTGAATATGTTGGTCTTGATGCCTAGATCAACAGAACAGGGAGTCCAGAAATAGACATACTTACCATATGGAAATTAAGTATAAGATAAAGGTGCTATCCCAAATGAGTAGGGAAATAAATGTATTAGTTAACAAATGTTGCCAGGACAGCTATTTGAAAACAAATTATTTTGTCCATAATATTATGTACCATATATAATATGATATATTATTAAATATACTACATGTAATATAGCATATTAAAATGATAATGAAAAATTAAGAAAACAATAGTATGACAAAAGACACCATAAAGTTGAACAAATTATAAACTGCAAAAATGCTGGTAACACATACTTAACAATACTCTTAATATTCTTAATAACAAGTCTTGTAAATCAATGAGACAAACACTTCAATAGAAAAGTGGGTAAGGACTTCCCTGGTGGCACAGTGGTTAACAATCCACCTGCCAATGCAGGGGACATGGGTTCGAGCCCTGCTCCGGGAAGATCCCACATGCTGCGGAGCAACTAAGCCTGTGCGCCACAACTACTCAGCCTGCGCTTTAGAGCCCGTGTGCCAGAACTACTGAAGCCCGCACGCCTACAGCCCATGTTCCGCAACAAGAGAAGCCACCGCAATGAGCAGCCCTCACACCACAACACAGAGTAGCCCCCACTCGCCACAACTAGAGAAAGCCCACGCACAGCAACAAAGACCCAACACAGCCAAAATTAAATAAATAAATTTATTTTAAAAGAAAAGAAAAAAAATGGGTAGAATATATGAGAAAAAGAAATATTTTTAAGCAATACTTATTGATGTTAAACATGAAAATATGCTAAAGTTAATCACTAATAAGAAAACACCAAATAAAGACATGAGTTGATTAAAATCCAAATAATCATTGATGAGACTCTGGTGAACAGGATGTTGATGGGAGTACAAATTTGGACTAAATTTTTAGTGGACTATTTGGCAATATTTATCAAAACTTTAAATATGCCTACATTTTGACCCTAAAAATCTGCTTATAGCAATTTATCCTAAAGAAATAATGGATCAAAAAAAAAGGTAATTATGTGAGGTAATGAATGCCAATTAGCTTGACGGTGGTGATCATGTCACAGCATATATTTATATGAAATCATCACATTGTGCACCTTAAATATATACAGTTTTTGTCATTTATACCTCAATAAAGCTGAAAAAAGACTTTAAAAAGAAAAAGAAAGAAAAAATAAGAAATAATGGGTCAAATATACAAAAATGTATGTAAAATGATGTTCATTAAAAAAAATGGCAGCGGACACGGGTTCAATCCCTGGTCCAGGAAGATCCCACATGCCGTGGAGCAACTAAGCCCATGCGCCACAACTACTGAGCCTGCCCTATAGAGCCCGCACGCCACAACTACTGAGCCTGCGCTCTAGAGCCCACATGCCACAACAACCGAAGCCCGCAAGCCTAGAGCCTGTGCTCCGAAACAAGAGAAGCCACCATGGGAGATTGGAATTGACATATATATACTAATATGTATAAACTAGATAACTAATAAGAACCTGCTGTATAAAAATATAAATTAAATAAAATTCAACAACAAAAAAGGGAGAAGCCACCACAATGAGAAGCCTGTGCTCTGCAAGGAAGAGGAGCCCTCTGTTCACTGCAACTAGAGAAAGCCCATGTGCAGCAACAAAGACGCAACACAGCCAAAAAGAAAATTAAATTTAAAAAAAAAAAAGAAAGAAATTTACTAAGATGGGGAAAATCTACTCAGAGCAACTTAAGAAGTCAAAGATTATTTACACTTTTATTCCAGTGTCATATTTTGATCTAAATCCTCACCACAGTAACGACTGGAAATTAATTTATACTAAATAGAAATCTGGGGGACTTGCCTGGTGGTCCAGCAGT